GCTACTTGCATTATCATCTCTAGTCTAGATATTTGAGATTCCAGCTGGCAATGTGAGAAAGCCCTAAAAATTCCTGAGTTGATGTTTTAACATAATTTGGTGTTTATTTAAGCTTTGTATTCCAGTTGGCAAAGCAGGCAGGACATCAACAAGAGCACCAAAAGAATTAAAATGTGCTAAACTTTGATATTTGTCCTATATGTGCAGATAAATTCTTCAGTAAATTTATGTTTGCTATTATAACTAAATATTCCTGTTTTGTTTATAAATTGTTGTATATGTCAGTGGTTTCAAGCTTTATATATAAGACAGGTTCTTTTGTAACAAAATTTGCTTTTCTTTCTCGGGGCACTTTGGTTCATAATAAAATACACAAGTATATATGCAGTGTATCTATTATGTTTTTAGATTGGTTTAATGAAAAGTGTGAATATGTAATACTTAATCCTTGCTGTATATCCCATACTTAGTGGGCTATACAGTTTGCTAGTTGCTCCTTAAGTAGTAATCCTCAGGGATTCTGGAAGGTTTCCATTCAGTTTTTATCAAACCTATTTCACTTTATGTGATTGCAAGACAACCTTCCCTTGAATCAGCTGTCACCTCTCTCTTACGATCAGTAAGTCATCTATAATAAATAAAAACATTGATATTCAAAAGATTTCATTGCTGTTGGAGGTTTTTAGTATTTCATTGGTTTCTGAAGCAGTTTTAGTGCAAAACTTAATTGTCAGTCTGTGTTCTGTTTTTAAACCCACATTGAGGATGCATAACACTACATTAATATAAAAGCCATAACCTGTGTGCTGTTATAGACAGCAATTTCACTGAACATGCACTACATGTTACACTAAGTAATACATGTACCAAATGCCAGATGACAGCATTTATCTTGTTATAGTATAGCCTGTCTGTGTATGTAACCAAAGTATGGTGGGTTTTTATTTATTTATTTATTTTTTATTGTGTAGTTAAAAGTTCATATTTTCTCTGTGTAAAATGTCGTACAGAATCCAGCTTTATCAACCAACTTAGGCTCTGCCTGTCCTCAGAAAAGCAATTAAAAGCTGTGCTTATATTAATCTTCCTCAAATTAAAATTGTGAAGAGTATCTTGCAAATATCCAGATTTTGTCCCTATAACTCAAGTATAAAATTTAACATGTTTAGTAACTTATCGAAAGTTAAATTTATGTGTTTAACATCTGGTGATAGAGATTGCAGATATCAACTGTTTTTCCATGCTATGGCATTCAAGATAGCATTAGATAGGTTAACTGCAGTCAGGACTAGTATATGATTATGCAATTTTCCATGAAAGAAGGTTCAAAACAATTTTCACTAACTGTCATACTAGAAGAGATCATAACACATCCATCCGAGTTTGAATGGTGTGAACAGTTTTTTCAAAGTTCCTCTATACATTTAGAATGATCCTAATGAAGATAATCTGAAAAGTGTGACAGTGAATAATTCTATACAGCCTGATAATAAAGTAATTTTTAATGATTTGGGATGTTACATCATAGAAAGTCTCAATCACTATTGATACAAGTGGTGTTTTTATTGACATTGTCATCAGGGGCTACCTCAGTCTTCATTTTAAAATTTTGTATCAGTGTTGAAACAGCTAAATTTTGATTTATTGAGTAAGTATGAACATGAAAGTGATAATTTTCTGAACAGTATTATAACTGATAAGTCGTGTTCATCATTACCTGTCTAAAAAAAGGTAGCATCAATTCAGTGAAAATTTCCAGATCCAGATAGATTTTATGTAACACTTACTACAGATAAGTGTAGGGCAGTGATGTTCTGGGACTACGTGGGTGCTGTGTCTAAATTTCTTGACAACAGGAATGAATATTACCTAATATTTTCCAAGAAAATTTGGTAGGGCATTAACAAGAAATATACAGGGATTATCCAGCAAAGGTATCATTATATAACACAACAATGCAATGTGCCTCACAGCTGCCAGAATTTTCAATTATTTACATTGGAATGTACAGCCATACGTCTTTGCCTTAGAGTCCTGATTTGGCTCTTACTATAGGGCCTTCTGAAATAAGCTTGAATTTACCTTTTTAGTTTGTGAAAAAGCTTCTCAAAGAGGAAAGTTTTCTGGTGGGTGTGAAGTGATTCAGGAAGTTCTGCAATAACTCAGAAATTACCCTAGTAGAATACTGTGTTTGTTGGAATACAAAAATTTGAAACCTATGAGGAAAATGGGTTACAGCTGCAGGCGGCATTGAGAAATGATGCATTATCTTTCAAAGTTGCCTAGAAATTAAACTACACTCATGTCCATAAATTAAGGATAATTCGTAGTCACGCGGAAATAGAACTCTAAATTATATATATCACCTGTAAAATCACTACACACATCCTCAAGAATCATATGCAAATTTCAGGAAGTAGCCAGATGATACCGATGGTACGTCACAATGACGAGAGTGTAAGAGAGTGATATATAAGGAATACAGGCAAAAAAGTAAAATTGTTCACAGGCGCTTTATAAGCATTTCAGTGCAATAACCGAATAGTTATGACACAAAGGACGCATTTGGATGATTTTTTACGTGGTAGAATTATCGGCCGTCTGGAATGTGGGCGTACCCAACTGGAAGTATCAGACAAACTTGGAATTGCCCAGCGTGTCATCTCCAGGCTTTGGCAACGATTCAAAGATGATGGTAATGTGAGTAGACGTTACAGCACAGGTCAGCCCAGAGTTACAATGCCGAATGAGGACCGATATTTGGAGTTACTGCCAAAAGAAACAGGCGGAGCACAGCCTCAGACCTGTCTCGTCAGCTCTCTTCAGCCACTGGTACGACAATTTCAAGGCAGACCGTGTACAGACACTTAGGGTAGATTGATCTATATGCTGGTAGAACTGTCAGAGCGTTCCACTTACGCCACTCATGTCGCCTGCGGTTAGCCTGAGTAGACAGCATGCATTGTGGACACCGCAACAGTGGGCTTGTGTGATGTTTCCGACGAGTCCAGGTTTTTTAGCTTGCAGTCTGATTCTCACCGGACTTTCATATGGAGAGGTTCAGGTACCCGTTAACACCAAGAAACAATCATTGAACGACACCGTTACGGTGGTGCAGGAGTGCTCGTTTGAGGTGGAATTATTCTGGGTTCCAGAACTGACCTGCATGTTCAAATTGGAACCATGACATGCATGACTATCGGAACGTCATTCTGGAACAACATGTATGTTTGTTTCGGGGCGCCATAGGCGCACAGTTTGTGTGTATGGTCGACAACGCCCGTTCTCACTGTGCAAACATCGTGTCTTCAATAGGAGGATATCACCGATATGGACTGGCCAGCATTCTCACCGGACTTGAATCCAGGAGAGCACGTGTGGGACATACTTGGCCGACGAGTTGCAGCCCATCAACCTCCTCCTACATGTCTACCGGAACTTCGGAAAGCATTGCTCTTTGAGTGATGTAATATCCCCCAAGTTCAGATTGATAATTTGATACTCAGCATGCCTATGCGTCGTACGGATTGTTTTGTATCATCTGGGAGACATACAATGTATTAACAATCATACCAACCATGTAATATTGGTTTTTTGTAAATAGGTGTTTTTTGTAATTTGCTCCAGGGAGAAAAAAATCACTAATTTTTTTAATAATATAAAACATATAGCATATTTTGTTCTTTACCTTTTCTTTAATAAATAAGCTTTACCAATAAGTCAAATTTGTTTTGCCTCTAGCTCTTCCTTTGCCTGATTTTGCATTATCCTTAATTTATGGACATGAGTGTAGTTCAAATACTTACTGCATTATAACATGTGTAGTTAACCGATGTAGATGAGAAGTTTGGGAGCAAGGAATCTGCCAGTTGTTGCTTGGAAAAGCTCAGGACCTTATAGCATAATGTTCTGATGATGTCACTGTGTGAATATCTCAAATTTTTTACAACCCATTCAGCATTTTTCTCTTTGGTGTATTTTATAATTAATTTCCTTAATTCTTTTGAAAATGTCTGTAGATTAATTAAGATTAAATATGTTAATATTGTTACGTTTTTCTTTTCTGACACCAGTTGTTGCATTATTTTCTTCCTTAACGTTCGTACGGGGTTCCTGTGGATTTGGAGTGAATAACGACTACAGCACTTGATGAAATATCGAAACACACTTTATTTAGCCAGTACTAATCAGGACAGCTCCAAAATCACGTTACAGTCATTGAAGAACTACTGTAAACACACTGACACGATCAATGACACAGCCTTCAGGTTATCAGGCTATAATGGTGGAGACAGCTTCACTGCAAAGCACCAGAGTACAGCTCCCAACTCTGCTCGGTCGTTCTCGGAACTCCACGTACTCTCGAGACTCCATGCTACAACTCGCGATGCACTCGACAACACACAGAGCACGGCTCCTGTCTCTTCGGTTCAATCGTTCCCAGAGCTCAGCACGCTTTTTTGACGATGCACTAACTGCGATACTTGAAGAGACTCTTCAATGCACTCTGCACTAGACTTCGAGACACTCGCTCAGCGACTGCAGACCATCAGGGTTATTATAGCTTTCGGCTTGTGTTCGAGAACATTCTGGGCTAAACCAGTAAGAATTCATTCCAGAAGGTTCTCCATCTGTCCATGGCATATCACCAATTTTGTCACGAAACGGGCGATTTCTCGCCAAATGTGGCAGCCCTGCCTTCCTTTGCCATTTTATGGCAAACCTAAACAAACGGGGAAGCCATATTACCACGCCTGTACATTTCGCAGCAATATTAAATTCGAAGTTTCAAGGTCAGAATATTTTAAAATAATTTTCTCTCTTTATTGACAACAAGCATTATTACCATAAAAACTTAGCATTGAATGTAGGAACTAAGAAAAGCATTTTTGGAAATTACCTTAAATTTATTGCAAAAAATGCTATGAAATATGTAAAATAAAAGTGTTCATTTAAAAAATTTTCACTCATTCATGTTTAACTTCATTTCTTGCTTTCAGGGAGTGGCAGACTGTCAAAGCTAAACTTCAGCAACATCCAGATTTTAATCAGTATTTTCTAGAAAGTCCAGATGAACAACCTTGGCAAGAAACTGATTTAGTTGATAGTAATGAAACACGAATCCCTCTTGATATCCTGGATTCTTCAGAAGCTGAAGCATGTTTTGAAGAGCATAAAGCTGCTTTGCAAGCTGAAGAAAGGAGGAAGGAGTATGTGTAATATTTTTTTAAGCTGAAAATATTTATAAAAATAGCCTTATTTTATAGAATGTCTTATGTTCCAAGTTTATAATCCCCCCTCAACTTATTGCATAAAAATATTGTATAGTCACTAATTCTAATTCAGTAATTTTACATTTTAGAATGCGACAGCAATTTAAAGAACTTTTAGAAGAAACTGGTTATGTTACTCCTGGAAAACCATTATCTGAAGTTCAAGTTCTATTCATGGGACGTGACTGTTATGAAGCTCTTTCAGAATCCGATTTATTGGATATTTATGAAGAACATCAAAAGGAGATAACTGAAAAAGCCAAACAGAATTTCCAAGAACTTTTACTAGAAAATGCTGAGATTTTCTATCATTTTACAAGCATTGGTCCAGGCAGTGTTATAACTCAGGAAGATATTAATAAAATTACTGAAAAACTCCAAGAAGACTTAAGGTTGGTATTTTTAGAATTTAATTAAATGCATGCTTTTGTAAATAAATTTGAAACTTTAATGTTATACATAATGACATTTTCTTACGGTAAAAGGCAGGCTGATAATTTTTGTCGCCTCTCTTTTTTTTTGCTGAATACTTCTTAACCCTTTCCAGCATGCTACCTTTTAATGTTGAAATTATGATTTTTTTTAAAAAAAAAAAGGTAGGCAGTCTCATTAGGCCTAGAGGAGTACACAAGTAAAATTTTGTGAAGATAGCACTTATTGTTTTAATTCTGTGGCTGTGCCCCACTGATTGAATAGCTTCGAAAAGAGTGCTGAAACGAGCATTGCTGGGAAGCGCATAAAAGGTAGGAGATTTTGCCTACAATTTAAAAATACTGGATTCTGAATACCATAGCAGATTTAGCGTTACCTAGGGTGTGCCACGGGGAGACCTGCTACTCGACACCCCCTAAAAAGCTCTTTTTTGGTTATAGGATGATTACGTGCGTATGAATGGGGAAAAAATGTAACTTGGGTATATGATATTTACATTTCATGTTTACACTTTAGTCTATTTTTTCATGGTAGTACTTTCAAAGGAAATGACACCACCTTTAAAAAAGCGCAACCCAATATTGTATGTTTTGCACATGTACCGGGATCCATATCAGATTCACTATCTGAAGCAATTCATGCCCCACTTTCAGTGCTTCAGAAATGGTCAACCCTCTCTGTTTGGGCACTCCTCGGGTTTGCCATTCGATTTTAGGCAAGATTTCAATGTAAAAATTTGAAACTAATATAGAATAAGGAGATTAGCATACAGCCAAAAAATAACATAGAAATTTCTTTTTAAACAATTCCTTTTATATCCTAAAAGAAAAATCTGGAAGATTTCTTTGAAAAATGAGGGTCTTAGAAAACTAAACATGGCTAAAATATATGGACTGGTTTGTGTTGAGCTGCTATCTACTATAAATAAAGAAGGTTCAGAGTAACCTCTAAATCCTTTTTCATTCAATTTTTCTGTGTGGACAGAAATAAATTTTTAGGTATGCCCAGACCGAGCACACCATGCCACAAAGGGTTAAAGCATCAGGCAGAAGAAACAATGGAAAATAAATTTCATTTCAAGGGGAAAATATTTCACAAGATTAATTGAAAATGCTTTTTAAAATTGTTACATGCTACTGGAAATTTTAAATTCTTTTATAAAATAAATTTAAGCGTTTGCTAAAGAGTGTCTCTTGAATTTTATTGTGTCATCAAAGCAGTCATTGATATAAAAGTTTGGTAATCCCTGCATTAAACCCTTTAAAATGGAATAAAAGTGCCAAGTGATATGTGTTCTTTATCCGTATATTAATATAGAGAGAGCGATAGCATATGTAGGAAAAATTTTTATGTATAATGCATATTTATGTAAAAAGTATGTTCCTTATAATTTTGCATAGCTTTGGGAAAGTGGTGAGTGATGACCCAGTGTGTATGATTTATTCAGTGTTTAAAACTATTCATTTGAAGAAAAAGCTAACAGAAATAAAATGTGTAATTTTAAAATTTTATTTCTATTTTGAAACACACAAAATGCAATGAAATTTAGAAATAAAAATTTACTTTGTGTAACCTTAAAATAATCGTAAATTTTCTTGAGTATACGTGTATGAGAGCTGTAAATTAAGTAATGGCAACATAGGTATAAATCAATTTTTAGTGAACTTACAAGTGCAATTGCATTACATTCCTTTTATGTAATCACCAGCGAAGCTTATAACCTCTTGCCAAATGTCGGGAAGCCGTTGTAGACCAGTGGCAAGGTGTTGATGTGAGTGACCAAGTGCCCTACTGCGTGGAGTACAGATCGAAGTCACAAGGACTCATGTCGGGTGAGTAGGGAGGGTGTTCTAGGATTTCCCACTGCCACTGTCGCAAAAGGAGAGTGACATTGTTTGCGGCATGGCAACGAGCGTTGTGATGCAATACAATAGGAAGATTGTTGTGCAATAAACGTGGACGTTTGTGCCACATAGCTGGATGCAGATGGTGCTGTAGAAATCGGCAATAGTAATCTGCATTGACAGTTGGTCCTTCAGCAGGGTTCGTACAGTCCTTAAAAGTCCTTAGATTTTTTGGAATCGATTTTTGGTCCTTAAAAGTCCTTAATTTTTGCCAAAATCGGTAGAAGGTCCTTAATTTTAATCATCTGAAATTTTCGTCTGTTTTTACGACTGCCATTTCGAGTGTGAATTAGCATTTTGGAGGAATATTTTTGGCGATTCACTGATGTGTATGGTTATCTTTTGAATGGGTTCACGGTTTATAATTTGTTTCTATTTCTAATATAAATGATGGAATACTCGAATTTCTAAGCAAGAAGTAAAACACAGCATTTCGAAATTCATTTTTTCTAATAAAGAGCTCTTAAACAACTTTTCGCTTTGAATATGTGAATTGTTTTATTAAACGGTTCTAAATTTGGCGACTTATCAACAGTTTGGCGATTTTAAGATCAGCTTCTATAGAAAATTTTTAATTCCGAGGTCTGAGAATTTTTCGACATTTTTTTAAACATCGTAACATTGATATATCTCATTAAAATAATTTTAATATATTGAAATTATATTTAAAAAATAAGATTAAAATAAAACATTATTATTTTTTGCTGTCATATTATAAAGTTTTATTTTGGCAACTTATACAATATTTTTAATCTGAAAAATAAATGAGGTATAATGCTATAAAGCACAATTTACGAAACAGCTCTTAGCAAAAGCAAAATTAGCTATGTAATTAATTAAAAATGTCTTCTTTTTAATTTTTCATTATAAAGAGTTTTTTCCATGTGATTGTCTCAGAATAGTCAAAATTCTCAGAATATGCACCAGTTTTCTCTATAAAATTAATTTTACACCTTTTGCCTCCCCTTTTTTTCCCCCAAATATTTCTGGCTTTTTGCTGTTGCAGAATTGGTAGGGATAATTTTTCTTTATCATTTTAGACATTGCAGCTTGGAAAGTTTAGAAGGCAAGTTTCTAAAAAGTTTAGAAAGCAAGATTTATAGACCCACGATTCTAGAAGATTCGAGAAAAATGTGACAAAATGAAAAATGTCTCTATGGTATCAACACATAATGGATGTATTTTACAGAAAGTTTGCAATGAATTTCGATACAGCTTGAGTATAGGACCCCATTGGCGATTTTTTGGCTTGGTGCACTTTTTGGACGGTTGTGTTTCTGGTAACCCAGTAAATTATAGAATATTCCACTTCGGCAACCCTATCGCACTCCTGCGTGTTTTAAACCGGAAAGTGTCATTTTCTTCGAAGGAGCAAAATATTGATGTATTCAACAAATTTCTCGAAATTGTAAGGGACATAAATTGGGCGGAGTATAGGATTTCTTTGTAAATTTACCATGATTTTGTAAACTTTACTAAATTTCCAGTATTTCTTTTATTTTTAATTTAAACATGTATTCTGAACTCCTGTTTTCAGTTTTATAACTTAACACTTGCATTTTCAATATTGCAGCTTAAAATATGCCTCCATGTACTTGTGTATTTTCAAACTTTTCTTTACTTTTAATTTAAACATGAATTCTTAACTACTATTTTCATATTTTTAATTTAAACATGTATTCTGAGATCCTACTTTCAATTTTACAGCTTGTAATTTGTATTTTCAGTATGACTGCTAAAAATATGCCGTTATTTATTTATTTTCAGTTTCACTGTTTAAATATATATTCTAAATTTGTATTTAAAATTTTTCTTGTTAAAATATACATTCTAACATCTATTTTCAATTTTAACTGCTTTTACAAGGCTAAACATGTATTTTCAATATTACTACTTAAAATGTGCCCCTACTTACTTATGTACCTTCAAATTTGCTGTTTAAACCTATATTCTAAAATTTTTTCTGGTTTAAACGTGCTTTCTAACTTGTGTTTTCAATTTTAACGGCTTTTCCATGGCTTGGCGACAAGAAGCCAAAAAATCGCCAATGGGGTCCTATACTCAAGCTGTTCCTGAATTTCTTACTCTTTTGAGAATGTCTGGAAGAACAATGAAAACATAATATTTGAATGTTTTACTTCTGATTCTAGAATCTTAACGTGTTTATCTTCCCTTTATTTTCTCTACTTTTCACTAGATACTAGCATGGAAAATATCAAAAATGCTTCTAATCTTATCACATGGGCAGGCATTATAGATAGGGATGTTTTTATTAATAAATAAATTGAAAACTTAAATTTAAAAGATTAATATAATATGTCTTAATGCATCATACACAGACCTGGTACACATTTTCCCACCTGATGCAATCTCTGTGGATCCTAATTTCTGCTGCCCAGAGCCCTTCTGATTTCTGCTTCCAATGTCTGCTCTAAATTCTAAAAGTTTTGCCATTTCTAGATTTTGTTTGGTGTGTCACTAAATTCTAAAAATTCTGCCTCATCAGCTGTGTAACCTGCCTTTACCGTATATATTTCATATTTCTTCTGAATGTTCATATTACTAAAGAAATAAAATTAGCCGCTTTTTGTATAAATTCTAAATGCATTTAGTGTTTTTACTTCCTTGTATGAAGTAAAAAGGAAATATTGTAATCGCGAAAAGTTTCAGGCAGCATATTTCAACAAAAATATCCATTTTGACCGCTATCAAATGCAATTTAACGATGTTTTTGCGTGATATCTATATGTAAGGACAGAATGAAAGACTCGTTTCCTCCAAAAAAATTATAAAACTGCTTTAAAATTAATTCTGAAGAGAATTTTTCGTGGCGTCTGTACGAACGTATCTCGCATAACTCAAAAACGAGTAGCCTCAGAACGTTGAAATTTTGTATATAGGACTGCTATAACATGCAGAACTGCACCTCGTATTTTGGTTGCAATCGGCCGCTATATCCACTCTGTTACCCGGCTCAGTGATCTCAGTTTCTTTACTCTTATATGTTTGTAAATTGTACATTTCTTGCTTTAAAAATGATTGAATTATGTTGTTTT